GGGGGAGGGGAGGGGAGGGGAGGGGGAGGGGAGAGAGAAGGGGGAGGGAGAGAGACAGGAGAAGAGGGAGGGGAGAGAGGAAAGGGAGGGGGGAGAGAGGAGGACAGAAGGGGGAGGGAGGGGGGAAAGGAGGAGGAGAGGGGGGAAAGAAAGGCGGAGAGAGGAGGGAGGGGGAAAGAAGGGGGTAGGGAGAGAAAAGGGGGAGTGGGGAGGGAGAGAAAAGGGGGAGGGGGAGAGAGAGTGAGAGAGAAAGAGAGAGAGCGCGAAGGCCTCCCAGGCTCCCTCCTTGTGAAAACCCAGCGCATTCCCTCCTCCCCGCAATTCTGTGACTTCTGGATGGTCCTCCCTCAATTGGAGCTGGAGAGGCGGAGGACGCCAAGACTCCAGCAGCTTTCTGTAACTGGCAGCATAGGGTGTCTCCCGAGCAGTTGTTACTACGGGCTGCAACACATACACACACTTCACTTCCTTAGTGAGCTGGAGGAAAATCTGAATTCTCCAGTGCTCAGGCCAAGCAAGCTTTGCAGCTCTCCTGCAGACCAGCTCGGCCGTACCTAAGCTTCCCCTGCTCCAGTCTCTCTCTCTTCCTCTCCCTGGGATTCTCTGTCAATCTCTCTCGTCCCCAATTACGGGGGCTGTTGAACGCCTCCAAAAAAAGCAGTGTTGTTGCCCGTTGTTTGTTTGTTTGTTTTTTTAATCAGTTCATGCTTTTTGCAAAAAGGGCTGGGGGACTGGTTGTCTTCCAAGTCTTATACCCCTTTCCTCTTTGCCTTCAACTCTCAAAGACTCATTTAGGAAGCCTGGGTTGCCCAAGGCTAAGCTTAACAGGAGAGGAGTGGAACCTGACAGCTGGAGGGTGAGGGTGACCCAGCTCTGCCCCCAACATAGAAGAAATATCCGTTCCACCCTCCACCCTCCATCCTCCATCCCCACCCCCAGGGACACGACCCCAGGCTAGTCCCGGATCGCAGGATTGGGCACTGGCCAAGGCGGGGGGGGGGGGGCCTGAAACTAAGTATTCTTAGAGAAACTTTTTCGGAGACGATTGCCGGACCCCCAAGGTTTCTACTTGGGCAGAGGAAGGGGATGAGGTAAGGTACTTAGAGATCTCAGCCACCCAGAACACATCACCTCCCCACCCGTCTCCCTCTGGAGGTACAGCCAAGAGGACGACGGAAAGAAGGGAGAGAGGGAGAGAAGGAAAGAAAGAGAGAGAGACACAGAGAGACAGAGAGACAGAGAGAGATCACCTCCCCACCCCTTTCCCTTTGGAGGAAGAGTGTGAAAGGAGAGAGAAAGAGAAAGGGAAGAAAAGATAAAGGAGGAAAAGGGAGAGAGACAGGGAGAGCACATCACCTCCCCACCCCATTCCCTCAAGAGGTACAGCCAAGAGGAAGCGGGGAAGGAGGGAAAGAGACAGAAAGGGAAGGAAAGAGAGGAACGCAAAGAGGGAGAGGACATCACCTCCCCACCCGTCTCCCTCAGGAGGAAGAGGAGAGGAAAGGAAGAGAGAGACAGAGAAAGGGAAGAAAAAAAAGAAAGGGGAAAAGAAATGGAAAGAGGGAGAAAGGAAAAGAGAGAGAGAAGGGAAGGAGAGAAAAAGGAGGAAGAGAAAGAAAGGGGAAAGAGAGAGAGAGAAAATGAAGTGAGGGGAAGGAGAGAACAGGCGAAGGAGAAGCAGGGACAGCAGCGCTGCCCAAGTTGGTGAGCACGGTCCCCTGGGCTTTCAGGAATTTCGGAGGGGTCGGTGGCCAGCGCGCAGACAGCCACCCGGGGTCCGCGCGCTGCCGCGCCCCCACCCCCGGTTCCGAAGGTGCGGAGGTGCAGTTCCCGGGCGGGGCGCCGCCCCCCCCCCCCCTGCCAACCCCCCCCCAGCGCAGCCCCCCGGCGGCCGGGGTCTCGGCGGCAGCGGCAGCCACCAGGCGGAGACCGCGGGCTGCGCGGGGAAGCGCCGGAGCCCGGTGGTGCCGCTGCCGCCGCCGCTCCTCGCCCAACCCCCTCCCGCGGTGCCCGCAGCCCCCCGGCTCCCGGCCCACCTACCGCTCCGGGGCTCCACACGGCCAACCGGCGGCCGCCCCCGCGCTCGGGCTCCCGGGGCTGCAGCAGTCCGTGCCGGCCGGGCCAGCGGCCGCCCGCGGCTCCTCGTCCCGCCGAGGGGGCCCTGGGCATGAAGCGGGGGCGCTGCTCCCAATGCAGAGAGAGGGGCAGGGTCCCAGAGAAATCCTGCTCCCCGCGTCCGTCTGTCCGGCCGGAGCCTGCGGGAGCTGTGCGTGTGCGTGCGTGCCCGCCGAGGCGCAAGAAATACTTCTATGCAAATTTATTTTTTCTAACTGCCACCGAGGTGCGGTCTCCTCCGAGGGCACGCAGCTCCCCGCGCGGGCTCTGCCCGGGGCGCCCCGGAGCGCGCGTTAGGGCGCGAGACGCTGCTACTGCTCCAGCTGCTGCCGCTGCTCCTGCTGCTGCCGCCGCCGCCGCTGCTGCCCGGGCCCGGGTCGGGCTGGGGCTGGGGCTGGGGCTGGGGCTGGGGGCGCGAGACGCTCCCCGGGGCTCCTCCGAGGGGGCGCGAGAGCAGCCGAGAGCCGAGCCCCGGCGCGGTCACGTGCCCGAGAGCGCTCAGCTGGGGCTGGGCACCGCCCCCCGCAGCTCCCTCCGCCCCTTCCTTCGGCTCGCGTCCCCGCCTCCGCGGCGGCCGCAAAGGCAGCAGCAGCAGCAAACGGCAGCAGCAAGCAGGCGGCTGCAGCAGCATCGGTGGCTCGGCTAGGAGAGTGGGGAGAGGGCCCCCAGCGCTGGGGGGCAGCTGAGACCTGGAGACGTCTGGCCTTCCCCGGACAGACGAGGGACAGCTGGCTTTCCACATAAATGCATTGTTTTATTTCTTTGCCTTGGGAAATTGCGGGGGTGGGAGGGAAGGTGGAGGATGGAGCGATAAGCCCCTGGGCCCAAAAAGGTTGCTGCTTCCAGCCAAACCCGGGAATCATCGAGTGTGACTTTTTAAAAATTTAAATGTCAAGTTCTTGGAGGAGACGAGAGTTGGGAACTTTGAGCAGAGGACTCAGTTTTCTCTTGTGTAAATGTGATTGATAACTGGAAGGGACTGTTTGAGGTCAGCGGGTCCGACTCCTCATTTTACTAGGGAGGAAACTTGGTCCCAAGAGAGGGAAACGCTTGCTCAGGCTCACCCAAGCGACAGGTTTGCAGACCCTGAAATCCAAACCAGATCCTCCAAACCATCCAATGCTCCTTCGACAAACCACAAACCCCACGAAAGGCCGTTTCGGCTCGAACAATTCAAGTCAAACATTTATTAAGCCTTCCTTCCAGTTCCACCTTCTACAGGAAGCCTATCCCAATCCCCCTTAATTCTAGTGCCCTCCCTCTGTTGATTATCTCCTATTCAGCCTGGCTACCGCCTTTGTCCACAGTTGACGTGCGTATTCTCTGCCCCATTACATTCCTAGAGAGCAGGAATTGTCTTTTGCCTTTCTTTTTAAGCCTTGATCCTTAGCAGTTCCTGGCACACAGTAGAAGCTTAATAAATGTTTGTGGACTGACTATACTTATCCACACCTACATGCCAAGCCGGGTCAAAAGAAAAATCGTGCAACTCAGAAAGAGGCAGGGACTGAAGGACAGAAGAACAGGGCACACATTGTCAGGTGCCTACTGGGGCTGGTTCTTGCTCAGTACCTTTTCTCCCTTGCAAGGGAGAGTTGTGGTTTGTCCTTCGTTCTGGAAGAGGACTATGACATCAGGAAGGTGATGCTGTGACATGCAAATAAATTGGATTGAAGTGAGGCAGGGCTGTGCAAAGTCACCAGCCTCACTTTCACCTCAGGAGACATCTGGGTCCAGTGGCCAGATATAGATGAAGACAGGACATAGAGTGTTTTGTACAGAAAGGATACTGAGAACCAGTCATAATGGGGAGGGGGGTTTCAAGTGTTCATCAGTTCTAAGAGAGATCCCAGAACATAACCTAAAGAGTCGAATTTAGTGGAAAGAACGGGGTTTGGGTGACGAAGACTTGAGGTTAAGCTTTGCCTATGCTACTTTCTAGCTGTATGACCTTGGGCAAGTCACTTTTGCGTGAAGGTCCCAGTTTTCTTCATTTGTAAAAGGAGACATTTGGACTAGCTAATTTCTAAAGACTCTTCTGTCTCTCAAGCTGATAATTTCCTAGTTTGATAGAGTTGGCAACAAACCCAAAGACTTCCTGTCCTCTGGCAAATTTCTCAGACTTTCTTATCGACCCAAAATGTGTAGACATTAGGGTTCACCCCTGGGGAAGGGTCTCTCCACAGTCTGGGGGCTTGTTGTGCAAGGAGGGTTCTTTGGGGCCAGAGCTCTGATCCAGAGGCCGGGGACCAAAGTTCAGATCTCAGCGCTGCCGCTTATCTATCTGGCAAGTCACTTCCGTCTTTGGGCCTGGCCATCCTCATCTGTACGATGAGCCCAGGTGACCTCCAAAGGCCCCTTCCAAACCAAAAGCAAAACTATTTCTTCCAAGGAGTTTTTCCCTCACCTACCTCCTGTGTGATACCCAGCAGAACACTCACTGCATCTTCTCAGCAATTTAAAATATACAGGAAGAGCAGTATTGGGCTCAACCACACAGCCCCTGCCTTGGCTTTCACCTCACCTGCCTTCCTCTCCACTGTTCCCCTCCCCCTAAAAAGCCTGAGGATCTTTTAGAATCATTGACTATAGAAACCTTGAAAGGATTATCGTAGCTGGTATTCTGGTAGCCTTTAAGGTCTGAGAGGAGGCAGTTACGTGACTCGGTGGGTAGAGCACTGGGCCTGGAATCAGGAAGACCTGAGTTCAGTCCAGCCTCAGACACTCACTGTGTAACTCTGGGAAAGTCACTTCACCTCTGCCTTAATCCGGTGGAGAAGGAAATGGCAAAATGCTCCAGTTTCTTTGCCAAGAAACACCTATAGGGTCACAAAGAGTCAGCCATGACTTAACAACAACAAAGTGTGGAAAAGCCTTAGCATATATTGTCTTACCGGGTCCTCAGAACAACTTTATGAGGTAGGTCCTATGACTACTCCCATTTTACATATGAGGAAACTGAGGCAGACAGAGATGAAGTGGCTTGCCCAGGTTCACAGCTAAGAAATATCTGAGGCTGGATTTGAACTAGTGAAGATGAGTCTTTCTGATGCCAGGCCCAGCACTCTATCTGCTGCTTCACCTAGCTGTCTTTTCTTTTGTCTAGAGACAATTCACAAAATGATAAATCAAGTCCTTCCTTATAGGGTTTGCTCATTTCCAAGGTATAAATGCTAACACTGAACATTTACTAATTCTCCCTAGAGAGCTGGTAGCAGCCAGCTCCATTGCCCCTGAATAGGAAGTCCCAGCAAGCAGTATGGGAGAGGGGAAGTCAGAGATGGGCCCTTGTAGGCACCTTGGCCCTTGAACTGAGCTTTGAAGAGAGCCGGAGTTTCTTTCATCTTACATTGTACATAATCTCATAGGGAAAGCAGTAGTGTTAGGGGGGATAGGAAGAAACTCTTGGAGATGTTTGGATTTTCTCTAGGACCTGAAGGAAGTCAGGGAAGTCAGAGGGCAGAAATGGGAAGGAGAGAATTCTAGGCCTGAAATTTCACAGTTGGTGAAGATGCCCAGAAGTGGGAGATGGAGTTGGTGTAAGAAGCCTGGAAAGGTAGGAAGGAGCCAGATTATGAAGCCACTGAAGCATCTTCTTGACTTTCTTCTTGTATAATCACTTTGCCTCAGTTTCCCCATCTGTTAGGTGGGAAGAAGGACAATTGTAGCTCTAAGGGTTATTATAGTGTGATGGAAGAAAGGAAGAGGAGAGACTCAATGTACCTACCTCGACAGGGCAGGAGCTGAGTCAACACTCCTTCTGGTGCTCACCAGGGTTTCAGCCTGTGGTTCTCATTGTCTAGGAATGCCAAACCCCAGCCCCAGACTCCTTCACCCCCATCATCAGCAACTTGGTGGTTGGATTTTTAAATAACCAAGTTCTGTTTACCTTCAATCACTACCCACTTCACAATCTGCCCTCAATTTAAAGCTGTTCTTAGCTTTGAAGAGGTGGGGATGGGGGGTGGGGGGAGTGTTAAGTAAAGCCAGGAAGCAGACCGCTTTAAATGCATTCCTCTTGTCCATGGTCTTTCCTGGAAGTCACAGAGGCTAACCCAACTCCCTCTCTGTCCTGTTCCTTGTACTTTGGGTACCAGGCTTTAAAAGAATGCAGGAGACCCCAAGTCCATTGACTCAAATAGGTTTGTCTGGGCCAAGTTTTGGCAGCTCTGTTACCTGGAGCCAAGATGCTATTAGCTATCACAAGCCAAACCCCATTGGGCTTTACCTATAGAAACCAAGTTTGAGCTCACAGGAGATTGGGGCTTGGCCTTTCAGGGGACAAGCTGGCCAATCTGTTCCTGAAGGATCTATCTCAGCATGAGGTTTGTAAATAGGATTCTTTCATCATAGGGCTAGAAAGAATCTTAGAGGTATCGAGTCTAACCCCCCTCATTTTACATGTAAGGAAACTGAGGCAGAGGATAAGTAACTTTCCCAGAGTCACCCAGCTAGTCTGATGCAGGATTTGAACACAGCTCCCAATCTCTCCAAGGAGCTGAGCGCTTATTCTGCCTCCTAAAGGACACATGTTTTTGAAATCCAAGCTCGTGATCCAGTTGGGTAAAAATAGCCTAACCCCTTCATTTTACAGAGAAGGAAACTGAGAGCTAGAGGGGGCAAGCAACTTGCTCAAGGTGAAAAGGTAAATCATAGCAGCTCATTGGGACACTACAAACATATCCCACTCCCGGGAAGAAGCGTCGACCTCCACCCTCCATGCCAGCACCCTCCATAATGCCTCCTCACCCTGTGCCTAAATTTCCAGAATTGATTTCCTTGAGAAGGATTTTTAATGTTTGACTTTTTCTTTCCTTCCTCCCCTCCACCCACCCTACTGAATGGTTGGCTATCTATCTGAAAATTTCCCATCAAGAATGGGCTGGTTTCACTGATGAACAATATTGAGAAATGTGGAGTGAAGATTGTACATAGAATGATCGTGTCCCTCCTATCAGCACAGATGTTATTATTT